GTCCCTAAATGGAAAGTCGCTGTTCCTGCACTCATGATCCTCCAACTCAGGGGACCGGGCAGCCCAAGGCCTATCCGTATTATTAAAGACTGATGCAAAAAAAGCATTGAATGCCTCTGCTTTTTCTTCATCAGTAGCTCTCTGAATAGATTAAAGTTTTCTCTCCTGAAGTCCAGCATTGCAACCCTGCTGTCCTTTTTTCTTATTACACTGAAAATTTTCAACTCAACCATTTCATGATCACTGTGGCCAAGACAGCTACCTACCATCACATCTCCCGCCAGTCCTTCTCTATTCACAAATGACAAGTCTAGGAGGGCATCTTTCCTAGTTGGCTCACTGAGTACCTGTGACGTTATCTCCCACAAGCCTCAAGAATTTCCAGGACCTGCTCGTCACAGCAGTATGATATTCCCAGTTGATGTCTGGGAAGTTGGAGTCTCTCATAAGGGCAAGGGCTACCGATTCAGAGATTTCTCCTAATTGCCGATAGACTAACTCATCGGTGCTTGCATTCTGGCTGGGTGCTTGGTAGTAGACACCCACTACAACATCGCCTTCGTTTTCCATCCCTGTAATCCTCACCCAGAGGCTCTCCACCACATCACCGCTAACTGTAAGGGCTGTACAATCAAACCTTTCCCTTAAGTATAGTGCCAGCACTCCAATTGTGGAACTCATTCCACCAAGTCTCACTAACAGCAATGATATAATAGTTCTGGGAACTAACCAGAGCTTCCAGTTCTTCCTGTTTGTTTCTCAGACTGTATGTGCTGGTGTACAAGCGTTTCAGGTATGCTCTGGAGCCCTAAATCTAAATCTGAATCTACCCTCTTTCAGTTTAAAACCGTTGCCCCTTGTCCTGTCACTACAGGCCCTGGTAAAAAGTTTCTCTCTGCCCCCTTTGTATATTGAAAGGCTGCAATAAGGTCTCCTCAGAGCCTTCTCTTCTCCAGGCTGAACAACCCCAACTCTCACAGCCTTTCTTCATAGGAGACGTGCTCCGGCCCTCCGATCGTTGTCATGGACCTTCTCTGGACCTGCTCTAAGAGAACTGGATGTGCCAGAGCTGGAGGCAGTACTCCAGGTGGGGGTCTCACAAGAGTGGAGTAGAGGAGCAGACTTGACCTGCTGGCCACGCTTCCTTCTGTGCAGCCCAGCATGCAATTGGCTTTCTGGGCTACAGGTGCACATTGACAGCTCGTGTCCAATTTTTTGTCCACCAGCAAGTAAGGATGCAAATGCTTCATCAACATCCTCCCCTTGATCAGGAGGCCTGTAGTAAACACCAACCACAAGGTTTCCTTTGTTGGCTGTTCCTTTATTTTTATCGACAAGTTCTCAATCTGTTCATTTTCAACGGCAGCTCTCTGCAGTCAATCCATCCTTTTACACAGATGCCCACCCCCACCCCCCCCAGGCTCTTTCATTGCCTGCCCCTTTTGAATGGTTTATAGTCATCAATTGCAGCACTCCTGGCGTGTGGTTTGTCCCACCACATTTCAGCAATAGCGATTAGATCATAGCTTTCCAGCTGCACAATGGTTTCCAAGCCCTCCTGTTTGTTACCCATGCTGCGTGCATTGTTATAGAGGCACTTTAGTGGGCCTATTGACCATGTAATCTTTTTAGAGGAAGACGCCCTAATTTCTTTGTGGCGTTTCTCAGGCATTTCCCGGTTGATTCCCAATCCATCAGCAGCCCTTGGCTCTTGTCTGGTGCTGAAAACTCCATCCCCTTTTCCCACTAAATCTAGTTTTAAGCCCTCCTTATAAGTCTGGCCAGCTTGTTGGCAAAGACACTCTTGCCCCACTTGGTCCGGTGAACCCCATCACCTCCCAACAGACCTGGCTTCTCAGACAATCACAGAATCGTAGAATCCCAGGTTGGGAGGGACCTCAAGGATCATCTGGTCCAACCATTCTAGGCAAAGCATGATCTAGACTAGATGTCCCAGCATGCTACCCAGCCGAATCTTAAAAGTGTCCCGTGTTGAGGAATCCACTGTTTCCTTGGGGATGCTATTCCAGTGGCTGATTGTTCTCATTGTGAAAAATTATCCTCTAGTGTCCAACCGGAATCTCCACAGGAGTAACTTGTACCCATTACCTCTTGTCTTTTCCATGTGATACCCTGTAAAGAGGGAATCTCTGTCTTCTGTTTATCCCCCTCATGCTGCGGGCTTCCCAGTCCTTTAGTCGTCTTTGTAGCCCTTCTCTGGACCCTCTCCAGCCTGTCCGCATCTTTTTTGCGTAGTGGTGACCCAAACTGAACACATTACTCCAGGTGCAGCGTGACAAGTGCTGAGTAGAGTTGGATAATGACATCTTTATCTCTGCTGGTGATGCCCTTGTTGATGTAACCCGGCATCCTGTTGGCTCTCTTTGCCACAGCAACAGCACACTGTTCACTCATATTGAGCTTGTTGTCCACCAGGACCCTCAGGTCCATTTCCACAGAGCTGCTGCCCAGCCGTGTAGATCCCAGCCTGTGCTGCACTCTTTTATTGTGTTTTCCCAGGTGCAAGACCTTACGCTTGTCTTTGTTGAACTTCATAAAGTTCGTGTTAGCCCACTCTTCCAGCCTCTCCAGGTCATCCTGCAGGGTGGCTCTCCCTTCCAAAGCATCTACTTCCCCACTCTGTGTGGTATCAACAGCAAACTTGGTCAGGATACATTTGAGCCCATCTTCCAGATCATTTATGAAGGTATTAAACAGCGTTGGGTCCAGCATTGATCCCCGGGGGGACCCCACTAGTGACAGGTCGCCAGTCTGAAAAGGAGCTATTTGCCACCACCCTCTGGATGCAGCCTGTCAGCCAGTTCCCCACCCACTGCAGAGACCACTTGTCTATACCATAACGTATCAGATTCTCTAGGAGGAGGCTGTGGGAAACTGGATTGAAAGCCTTAGAGAAATCCAGGTAGACAATGTCCACCACTCCCCCACATCAACCGAGCAGGTCACTTTATCATTGAAGGTGATCAGGTCTGTCAAGCATGATTTGCCCCTGGTGAATTCATGCTGGCTTCTCCCAGTCACATGCTTCATTTGACTTGAGATAGCCCCCAGGAGGATTCGTTCCATAAGCTTCCTGGGGAGTGAAGTAAGACTGATGAGCCTATAATTTTCTGGATCCTCCTCTGAGATCCAATTTCGAGATCCTCCTTCTTGTAGATGGGGGTGACATTAAGCCCTCTGGGACATCCCCCAATCTCCATGACTTCTCAAAGGTTATGGAGAGTGGCCTCGCAATGACATCAGCCAGCTCTCTTAACACCCTCAGGTGGATATTTTCAGGGCCCACCGATTTGTAGGGGTCAAGCTCCTGTAATGGTTCACATACCAACTCTTCCTCCACTGATGGTGGGTCTGTGTTTTCATTAACCTGGATTTTTGTTCCCAAGGCCTGGGGTTCAACAGTGCTGGTAATGACAGAGGTGAACCTGTCATTCATTGCCAACCTCTGCCTTTGCAGCATTGTTGGCGACTAATTTCACTCTCCCCTTAACAGCAGGACAGTATTTTCCTTCTGTTTCTGCTTGTTGTTTATGTACCTGAAGAACCCTTTCTTGTAGTTTTTGACATCTCTGGCCTCTTTCAATTAGAGATGAGCATTTGCTTTTCTAACTGTGCCTCTGTACCCCCTTGTAGCTCTCAATGGTTATCCGTCTGCTTCTCCATCTGTTACACTTCTCTTTTGGTTTTGAGTAGACTCAGAAGCTTGCAGTTAAGCCAAGGGGGTCTCTTGCTCTGCCTACTTCCCTTACCTTTTAAGGGGATGAACTGCTTTTGTGCTTCCAGGAGAGCGTTCTTGAAAATCTCCCAGCACTCACTAGCTCCTTTATCCTGTGTGGAAGCTTCCCACAGATTCCCTCACAACTGAGCTCTGAGTGAGCTGAAGTTTGTTCTTCTGAAATCTAGAACCTCTGTCTCGGTACTAACCTTCAGCATGCTCAGCCGGATCCCAAACTCCACAGTATTGTGATCACTGCAGCCAAGGCTACCACTAACCCAGATATTTACAAAGCAGGTTTTATTGGTTTGTGAGTAGCAAGTCCAGCGTTGCCTCATTCCTGCTTGGCACATCTGACATTTGTATGAGGAAGCAGTCTTCTACGCATTCCAGGAACTTGATGGATGACATAGAATAGAGTCATAGAATAGTTAGATTTGGAAAGGACCTTCAGATCATCACCAAGGTCGGTGATGAAGGAGGGGGAGGAGATTCCCCTGCAGCCTATGGTGAAGCAGGCAGTAACTCTGCAGATCATGAATGACAATGTCGGAGCAGATATCCACACTGCAGCCTTTGGAGGACCCCACATTGGAACATGCTTGTGGCAGGAATGGTGGCCTGTGGGGAACTCACGTTGGCACGGTCTGTTCCTTGTGGACCATACCCAGTGTAATTAACCCATGCTGGAACAGTTATTGAACTGCAGCTCTTGGGAAGGACCCATGCTGAAGCAGGGGAACAGTGTGAGGAGGGAGTAGAAACAGGGATGAAGTGTTATGAACTAACTGCAACCCCCATTCCCCAACCCATCTTCACTGCTCAGTAGTGGAGGAATTAGAAGAGTTGGGAGTGAAGTCTGACATTAATATACTCAGGCTCAGGGCCATAGTGCATTCACAGCTGTCTGGTAGAATAGAGACAGTATGTGAAGGAACCCATTTTTATCTTCAAATTAATAAAAACTTAGAATTTTCAGTGACAAAGGCATATTCCATAGAGAAATATATTCTTAAAACTTCTAGAGACTTTCCGAAATGAAGTGAAATATCCATTCCTCTTTACACACAATGCTTACATCAGCTCCAGCACACCTTCCTACTCAACAGGATTAAGGAAAGATGACACACACTATGTTTACATCCTTCCAAATCATTCCCAAAATGTTATGTGAGGTACAAAAAAAATTGCCACATAAAACAAAACAATAAAACAAAGCAAAACACAACACAGTCTTGTGAAATGATAACTATTTTTAACTTACTAGGAATAGGTCTAAGGACATCAGGAATGAGAATCTCCACCAAAGCCTGGTACATCACATGGTCACAGTTACCCATCCATTTCAGAATAGCCTCATATTTGCACAGAATAATCAGTTTTCCTTTTGGAAGTCGACTTTCTATTTCACTCAGATTGCTGGTGTGAATAAATGCAACAAATGAAAATGCATGATAAGAAAGGTACAATGGATTTTGAAATTGATTATTTAATAAAAACTTAAAAAATGTCTCTGCTACATCCAACTGAAACTCAAACTTCTTCATATGAATCCGGGGAAAAATAGCCTCCAAAGTTCTGCTCCAGTCCATAAATTACACAAAGGTATAATAAAAAAGGCCCTTGCAATTTAAATGAACTGGACAGTATCTTGTGAAAAGATATTTTGATTTTAGTTATCCAATCAAAGTAAAAAATAGATGTATTCACAATCTTTTCAAGGCCGCAGTTTGACATATACTGACAGGCTATATGTCAAATAGCAGACAACATAATTTAACCTGAAAAACTAATGATATCAAAAAAGGTTCTTAGCTTTCTTTGATTTGACTCCTGCTGTTTTATTATGATGGTGAACAGTAAACAAAAAGAGACATTTACTGACCTCAATTCAATAATAGCTGCGTCGCCAGCTGGAGCAGCAGGAGAATAGCGCCAGAAAGTTTGCCACAATTTTTCTATCAGGCTAAACTGAAGATTCACAACAACATCCACTATTGCCTAGAAAAATATAAAACAAGTGCAAATAATTTTCTATCTCACCCCCCCCCCCCCCCCCCCCCCCCCAACCCTTCCCAGGGATATAGCTCCCCCCTGGTCATTTTGCAGAAAAAATAGCAAAAGGTATGCTTATAAATTAACATATAACAACCTTTCCAATAACTTTTTATCAACAAATTTTCCAAACTGTCCATGCTAGTGTGTACAGAGACTCAGATCAGGACACGTGCAAATACAACGAAGCCTCCAAAAAAGAGCCTAAGCACATATATCGGGTGAATTCACCTAACCAGAACTTTCAACACTATTAAAAACACAAAGGAATCTTGCTTTTTCATGAATTTTGCTACTTCACTACATGTTTTAAAACACCTTCAGCAATAATTTAAAAACACTTTAGTCGCTATGAAATGTGTCCATAAGTAAGTACGCTTCTTTAAAACTTGAAGAAAAAAGTGAGCTTATTTTTAATATCATCATTAGAAACAATAATTTAATCTGATTTCAACTCCTATAAACAACTCTCTATATATTTTATCTAAAGTTCAATTTATCTAAAATTCTTAAGTATATTCCAGTATTGGTATTCTATTACATGTTATTTTCTTCTATAAAGAGAGAAATTCCAGAATGTCTTTTTGTAAACGTTCTTTCTGAGGGAATAAGCAAAATATTTGAGGAGCACATCAGATACAAGTGGAATAGCTGTAATGTGTTTTGTGTCAGTCATCCTGTTGTGCTTAATCTCAGTGGAAGACATGAATTTTCAAAGACTGATTTATGTGAAATGCCTCTTTCCTCTTACCTCACAGTGCTCTCTATAAAGACTTTGCAGTGATTTTATGTCCTCAAGGGTAGTACCATCCGGTAGAGAAGATATTTCAACTTCTCCAAACTCTGGAAGTACTCGAGATGCATCTGTTTCCATGAGAACATAACAGAAGAAAGCAATTGTGAATGGTGCCATCTACAGTTTGATTAGAAAACATTTAAGTATGATGTAAAAAAATAAAGTCTAGAAGGTCATAATGCCCAGAGGAATGTCTTTTATACATAATATATTTTAAAGTTGAAACAAAATTGTGAACAAACCAGATAGATAGCTACTTTTTAAGCAATAGGAGATTTTCAGTTATTCTTGACAGCAGATAAAAACTGCTTCACATACATATTGTATCGGTATATAAAAAAAGCTAAGATGCATTTTCTGAATATGACAGGATGAAGAAGAATATTCATGTCAGCATGTCAGAGCCTCATATAATAGGTTTTGTTTTGATCGACTGAACAGTTTTTGCATTGTCATGAATGATAGGGTTTAGTAGATCCAGAAGCATTTTATTTGAAATTTACAAGACTTTCAACTGTAGCCAACATTTGCTTTAACTATTCCTCATAAATATTTCCAAGAAATACACTGTCAACCAGAGGGACAATAGAAGGGAAAATTCAAAAACATGTAAACTGTAGTCTAAGGTTCCCAATGATTTCTATAACAGCAAGTTTAGGCCAAAAGATGTGGTGCTTCAAAATCCTAATAGATGAAACTAAGTGTAAAATTATTGGAATAACACATTTAATAAGCTTTTTTTACATAAGTAAATTACTAAATTGCCACTTGCTTCTACATCTGAGAAATTACTATGCTTAGCTACATCAATGAATGTACAAAATGCACATTCTAAACACAAACCTTGGGTTTCTGTTTTAAACTCTTTGTATCTTTCCATTTATAATGTTGCAGCACAAACTCAATACACCTTGACAATGGTCAACACAACTGCAGAGCAGAAATATAATCCAAATTTATGTGCATATTCAAAAAAAAAAAAAGGGAAGCCAGTGGAAATTGATGAACTCCTAGGGAAAGATTTTCACTATGCATTTCTGTATAAAATGCTTCACTGCAATTGCATTGCAATATATTTTAAATCTACCATGCAAGTAGATTTTTCACAGTTTTTCTTTTATGTCTCTATGATGCATATTAAACAACAATCTAAGACAGCTCTTGAACCTTATTGGACAAATGAGAGTTTAAATACTCATGTTATCATTGCCACCAATTTTGATGATCTGATTGAGGATTTTTATCAAACTATCATAGGTTTAGAGAGCTTCCGCTACTGCAGGGAGGTAAGTCCTGTGGGAACTGAGATCGCCCCTGAGGATATTATTGTAATTAGAAGTGAAGCAGAGGACTTAGAACTAGATGGTCTATTTGATGAACACATTAATCCCTTTGCAAGGTATATTTACATAAGATGTTTACATCTGGGATCCTGTAGAGACGGGAGTCAAAGCACAGAGTGTCATTTTGCGGTACACCTTACACTTGAGAAGTGGAAAACCATTACAGAAGTGGAAGATCATTACAGAAGTGTTACAATACAGAAGATATAGCTTCTATGAGTATCATTTTCTTTTGCTATCATTGAGAGTTTTGAACAGGGCAACATAACTAAAATAATTATTGTATTTATATGACTTGATGTTCAAGGCAATAATGGAGTTTATTTTATTTTTACAACAGTATAAAACATCATACCTAAAAACTGTTGATGATGTTGACTTTGGGCAATTAAAGTTTGCTCAGCAGATGCGCCTGCCTGTTGACCACTTCCTGTGAAACCATCTGTAACTCCATCCACTTTCTGCACAGGCTTGTATCTACAAAATTATCAAATATAAAATTATTCTTTATGTTCACTTTTTTGTAAGTGCGACATCACACTCTGTTCTGCCTGATTTCTATGTCTCGACATACAGTTATGCTAGTTCACAAAAAAGAAAAAAAAATCAGAATAACTGTAGTAAGGAAAGGTAGATCACTAGCAATCCACTGACTGTAGAATGGAAAATATAACTCTATTTTTAAAATGGGAAAAATGTGTCCTGGTTTCAGCTGTAGCAGTTATTTTTTTCCTTCCTAGTAGCTGGTGAAGTGCTGTGTTTCAGATTTAGCCTGAGAACAATGCTGATAACACACCAATGTTTTAGTTATTGCTAAGCAGTGCTTACCCTGATCAAGGACTTTTCATGCTCTCTTGCTCTGCCAGTGAGGAGGGGCACAAGAAGACAGGAGGGAGCAGAGAAAGGACACCTTACCCAAACTAGCCAAAGTTCCATACCACAGCACGTCATGCCCAGTATATAAAATCGGGGGAGTCACCCACAAGACCCAGTTCACTGCTCAGGTCGGGCTGAGTATCAGTCAGCGAGCGGCGAGCAGTTGTATCGTGCATCATAGAATCAGAATAGTTAGGGCTGGATAGGACCTTAAGATCAACTAGTTCCAACCCCCTTGCCATGGGCAGGGACACCACACACTAAACCATATCACCCAAGACTACATCCAAACTGGCCTTGAACACTGCCAGGGATGGAGCATTCACAACTTGCTTGGGCAACCCATTCCAGTGCCTCACCACCCTCACAGTAAAGAATGCCTTCCTTATACCTAACCTGAACTTCCCCGGTTTAAGTCTGACCCCATAACCCCTTGTCCTATCGCTCCAGTCCCTGATGAATAGTCCCTCCCCAGCATCCTTGTAGGCTCCCTTCAGATAATGGAAGGCTGCTATGAGGTCTCCATGCAGCCTTTACTTCTCCAGGCTGTACAGCCCCAACTTTCTCAGCCTGTCATCATACGGGAGGTGCTCCAGTCCCTGACCATCCTCGTGGCCCTCCTCTGGACTTATTCCAACAGTTCCATGTCCTTTTTATGTTGAGGACACCAGAACTGCACACAATACTCCAAGTGAGGTCTCATGAGAGCAGAGCAGAAGAGCAGGATCACCTCCTTTGACTTGCTGGTTATGATTCTTCTGAGGCGGCCCAGGATATGTTTGTCTTTCTGGGCTGCAAGCACAAGGTTTATTGTATTTTTTTTTCCCCTTTTCACTTTTAGTTTTATATTCTCTCCCCTTGTTGTTTCCCTTATCATTATTATTATTAGTAGTAGTAGTAGTTTTCTCTTGTACTTTAGTTATTGGACTGTTCTTATCTCAGTTCATGTGGTTTACATTCTTTAGATTCGCTTTCCCATCCTACCCAAGGGTGGGGAGGAAGGGGGAGTAGGGAGAAAGTGGCTGCGTAGTTCTGAGTTGCTGTCCGGGCTTAAACCACAACAGTCCTTTATGGTGCCCAACCTGGGGCCCAAATGGTTGAGATAATAACAGATCAGATCAGAGTGTGTCAAAACGTATTTCTGATAAGCATTCATTTTTATGGATTAATAGTCACTTGTCACAATGATGATACCCAGAGGATCATGAAGAAGACATGAGAAAGTGGGATGGAAAACCTACTTCAGTAGGTGCGTGAACTGCAAAGAAAAACAATGGTGAATGGGGATCCTCCCAAGAAAACTGCTGCTCCAGGCTCTCGTGGGCAATGAAAGAGCTAATTTTACTTCTACTCCTATGAAAAGGAATTCTACTCCTTTTGTACAAGAAGTAAGTGAAGAATCTTATGATCACTATTAGATGGGCCCTGCCTACAGCCAGGAAAATGGGGACAATCAGGTTTAATGGGCTGTGTGGATAAGATGGCATGGCACATGAGTCCCACAGGAGTATAAGGCTCTAATAGATACCGGTGCACAGTGTAGGCTAATGCCATCAAGTTATCAAGGGGTGGAATCCATTTGTATTTCTGGAGTGACAGGGGGATCTCAGCAGCTGACTGTATTGGAGGCTGAAATCATCCTGACTGGGAAGGAGTGGCAAAAGCACCCCACTGTGACTGGCCAGAGTTTCCGTGCATTCTTGGCATAGACCTTCTAAGGTATTTCAATAACCAAAAGGGTTCCTATGGACTTTTGGTATATCTGCCTTGGAGATGGAGGAAATGAAGCAACTGTCCACTTTGCCTGGTCTCTCAGAGGACCCTTCTGTTGTGAGGCTGCTGAAAGTAGAAGAACCTGTGCCTATGCAGGGGTTTGAGATGCTCCAGAAGTGATTGGCACTGAAGCACAGCTCCTCCTGGCACCCCGGTTGCCTGGGCTGGGCTGTTTAAAGGCAGGGCCTCCTCTTCACATCACGAAAACCAATGCTACATGGAGTAAGTGGGCTGCACTAATTACACAATGAGCTCAAATAGGAAATCCCAGTCATCCAGGAATTTTAGAAGTCATCATGGACTGGCCAAAGGGCAAAGATTTTGGAATGTCACCAGAGGAGGAGGTGATGCATGCTGAAGAGGCCCCATCATATAATAAACTGTCAGAAAGTAAAAATCAATATGCCTTGTTTACTGATGGGTCCTGCCATGTTGTGGAAAAACGTTGGAGATGGAAGGCAGCTGTATTGAGTCCCCTATGACAAGTTGCTGAAACTGCTGAAGGAGAAGTCAACTTGAGTCAGTTTGCAGATGTGAAAACCATTCAGCTGGCCTTGGACATTTCTGAATGAGAAAAATGGCCAGTACTTTATCTCTCTACTGACTCATGGATGGTGGCAAATGCCCTGTGGGGGTGGTTGCAGCAGTGGAAGCAGAGCAACTGGCAATGCAGAGGTACTGTAGAGGGTGATAGAGTTCCTGTGGTGCACATAAAGAATCTGCTGGGGAAGACAGTCTGGGTCATTACTACTTCAGGTAAAGGCAAGCCCACTCCTGGAATTGCTTTTGTTCAAAGACCTGGGTGTACTTGGTAACGCAGGAAGATGGGGAAGTCTGGTGTGTACTTCAACGGGATTTAATTCGGGCTGAAAACAGCCAATGAACTCAGTTATATGCTGTTGACTGCTCTATAACACTCCTATGACAGCTAAATGTCCATTTCCACCACTTTGGACTATGCTGTCATGATCATCATCAGAGAATAAAGTCATGCAGCAGTAGGAGTCTCCCAGGACTGTCTTCAGACCACCATGGACTGAACCCAGCTTCTCTTTGATCATCACACCAAGAAAGAATAAACTTTGATGAAACCAGATGAGCTGAGCAGTGACGTCAGCAGGCAATGATCCAACACCATACACTGAAGGACTGCTATGGTAGATGAAGCCTGAAACCATGGACTGAATGAACTAAGACTTTATAGGGATGGTCCACAGAACAAAGAATGATATCTCTGTGTGTGAGTGTGTATATATATATATATCAAAAGACCAAAAGGTGATGGCATATTGGAAATTGTGGGACCTGACCATGATGTAAATAGTATGGAATAAGGGGTGGATGCTGTCCTGGGTTCAGCTGTAAGTTATTTTTCTTCTTCATGGTGCAGTACTGTGTTTTGGCTTTAGCCTGAGAATAATGCTGATAACACACCAATGGTTTAGTTGCTGCTAAGTAGCACTGTCGTGGTTTAAGCCCAAATGGTAACTCAGAACCATGCAGCCGCTCGCTCACTCCCCCCCACTTCTTCCTCCCCCCACTCCTGGAGGGACTGGGAGGAGAACTGAAAGAATGTAACTCCCTCAGATTGTGATAAGAGCAGTCTGGTAACTAAGGTATAATACAAAACTACTACTACCACCAATAATAATAATGATAAGGGGAATAACAAGGGGAGATAATATAAAACTAAAAGGGGAAAAGGAAAAGAAAGCAGTAAACAGAAGTGATGCACAGTAAAATTGCTCACCACCTGCTGACCAATACCCAGACTGACCCAAGCAGCAATCTGGGCCTTCTGGGTAACTCCCCCCAGTTTATATACTGGGCATGCCATGCTGTGGTATGGAATAACCCTTTGGCTAGCTTGGATCAGGTGTCCTCTTCTCCGCTTCCTCCCAGCTTCCTGTGCCCCTCCTCACTGACAGAGCATGAGACTGAAAAGTCCTTGATTGGAGTAAGCATTACTTACCAACTAAAAACATCAGTGTGTTATCAGCATTGTTCTCAGACTAAAGTCAAAAACACAGCAATACACTGGCTACTAAGGAGGAGAAAAATAACTGCTACAGCTGAACCCAGGATGAGCAATTACCCTAATCAAGGACTTTTCAGTCTGGCATGCTCTGTCAATAAGGAGGGAAGGAGCTGGGAGGGAGCAGAGACAGGACACCTGACCTAAACTAGCCAAAGCAATATTCCATACCATAGCATGCCATGCCCGGTATATAAACTGGGGGGAATTACCCATAAGGGACCAATCGCTGTTTGGGTTGGGCTGGGTAACAGTCAGCCAGTGCTGAGCTGTATTGTGCATCACTTGTGTTTATTGTTTCTTCTCTCCTTCCCTTTCCCCTTTTAGTTTTACATTCTTGTCCTGGGTTCAGCAGTAGCAGTCATTTTTCTCCTTCTTAGTTGCTGGTGCCGTGCTGTGTTTTTGACTTTCAGCCTGGGAACAATGCTGATAACACCCATGTTTTTAGGAATTGCTAAGTAATGTTTACTCTGACCAAGGACTTTCTGAGTCTCATGCTCTGCCAGGGAAGAGGGGAAGTCAGGAGGAAGCAGAGACAGGACACCTGACCCAAACTAAACAAAGGGGTATTCCACACCACAGTGTATCATGCCCAGTATATAAACTGGGGGCAATTACCTGGAAGGGCTAGATTGCTGCTTGAGTTGAGCTGGGTATCGGTCAGCAGGTGGTGAGCAATTGCATTCATGACTGTGAAACATGTGCTGCAATTAAGCAAGCCAAACGGTTAAAGCCTCTTTGGCATGGAGATCAATGGCTGAAGTACAAATATGGGGAGGCCTGGCAGATTGAC